TCTCAATGCTTGTCTTCTCCTCTTTTGCAAGGCAAAGTCGGATGGAACTGTAGGCCAAGAGATTCACCTTCTCCTATTCTATCTCGTCCAGGTCATCTGGTTTGTCTCCCAGAGTGTAGGTTCATCTGGACAAGCATATCTTTAACTTCGCATCTCCACATGCCGAAGTTGCCGCTTCCATCAAACTTTTCTACCTCGAACTTAGCATGGGACACCGGGGTCCAATGCTTAGAGTTGCTTGTAGTCGCTGGATTACTTATGGACTAGGTTGATCTAGACTCGGTTGATCTGGTCTCTGTAGATTCTGCCGTTAAAACTATTTTTTTTTTAGAAACTCTGATTCAAAAAACAGACCATACAGATGTATCCGGAATACTCCAAATAGTTTGAAAACACTATTGGATCGTCAAAAATGGACTCCGAATGACTTAGATTTGGCCAAAACAGTTTGGACGGTTCAGATCTACAGAATCTGGTGCGTTTGAGATGCACCGGATAATTACTCTGGAACAGCGCAGTCAACGGCGGCTCAGTGGTGTGACGCGCCGACAGTAATCGGCGCGTGAGGGTGCGTGGTGAGAGTGGGCTTCACTCTCTTTCTTCAGAGGGCGCATGACTGGTCTTCTGGGGCTGGTCTTTGCTGTTCTGGACTCCTTTCTTGGAGTTCTTCCTCCTGGTATACTCAAAAGTTGATTTCGAGCACTTCAAAATGCTGACGTGGCTTGTCTTCTCCCTGGAGACGCGTGTGGATGCGCGTTGTGTGACGCGCCGACAGTAATCGGCGCGTGAGGGTGCGTGGTGAGAGTGGGCTTCACTCTCTTTCTTTAGAGGGCGCATGACTGGTCTTCTGGGGCTGGTCTTTGCTGTTCTGGACTCCTTTCTTGGAGTTCTTGCTCCTGGTGTACTCAAAAGTTGATTTCGAGCACTTCAAAATCTGGGCACTTTCGGAAAAAATTCGATTTTTCACCACCTGAGCTCTGATACCAATTGTTGGAGATCGGGGGTACACCAGGAAACACACACAAGCAATAACACAAGAGATTTAACGTGGTTCAGTAAGTCGCCTACGTCCACGGGCAGTGGATTTCACTATGTGGAGATATGGAAGAATTACACACTGATAGTCACTCTCTATATTCTCTTTTTGAACTCACCACTCACCACATTTCCCTCTGCTCTCTCTACCTTTATTTATACACTAAGAAGGGAGAGAGCTGGCTGGCCTTGCACATGGCCAGCTGGTCATTCATCAAAGGTGGATCGTCTACCTTTGCAGCTTGTCAGTTGGCAACCGCAATTGAGGACATTGTTGGAGCTGACTTCACATTGGAAGGAAATCACCCCTCACATGGGGTGATATCAACATGAATGACTCAAGTGCAATCTAGATTTGCTTCTTCAATTATCTATCCACTGTTGGTTATACCAAATTAGTTAAGGATGTGTTTAATTATGAATTTAAATAGGAATTTAGAAATAAAGAAAAAAAAAGGCGAGGAAAAGATAAATGAAATATAATTTTTTTTTTCCATTCACTTTCTTCTTTTTTCTTTTCTTTTTTTTTTGTCTCTCTCTTTTAAAATTTTTATTCAAATCCATAAACATAGAGTAAGTGGTCTTGGTTTAAAAAATTTGATGGATGGAAGTGGAGTGATTTTATTTTTAGTAGCTTGACTTCACTCACTCGCGCTGGGTCGGGTGGGTGGAGAATCATGGCTAGTGGAATGCAATAGGTCATTTAATATTCATGATGCATATTATATGTTAGATATAATTATGAGCGGTGGTATTATATGTACTAATTAGTATATTAACTAGTGTATCAATGCTAGTTATGACATTATTATTGACTTATCTCATTATACAAATTATAAATACCAAAAACTTCTTAAATTATGTCATATCATCAATTAATATATTAATTGATATAATAATTGGTGCATATACTAAAAACCTCAATGAGTCATTTGACTATTATAGATTATTGTGGTAGTGAGACAGTAATTCTCATATATAACGTGGTTACATTTTATTATGGTGTTTGGTTATTTTCAAAGCAATATTGATTATGATTTATTGTGGTGAGTTTATTCATATTACTTTTTTCATATCTGTCAATTGAAAGTATGGATATATTTTATATGTGTTTCCTTAGGTTGCTTCTTTAGGTTGCGTAAAGGGCAAGGAAATTTGAAAATGTGAGGATTGTGAACGAAATAGAAGTTAAATTTTTTTTTTACTATTTTTTTTTTTAGATTTTAACCCAAATCCATAATCTAAATATAGCATTAAAGATGAATATTGTAAAATTTATAATGGAATTTGTTTGGTTTGATTTTTAAAAAACAAATTTTCGATGGGTTTTCGTTTATCTTTAGTAATTCCTTTTTTATGTATATTTTATTTTAATACTTGTAATAAAAATAAAAATAGCTAAAATATTTATTAAAAAAATTCATTAAAAAGAAACGAAAATTTAACTAAAAATATATATTTTAAAATCAAACTAAAGAGACTCCTATTTTTATAAGTCTATTTTTTAGACACAGTTCTAAATTCAATGATGTATCAAAAAAATAATTGATTAATAATTAAATATTTCATATTTATTAATCAATTATCTTTTTGATACATCATAGAATTTAATATGTGGGTTTAATTTTTAAACCATAATAGCAATACTCTTTCCAGGAGCTTTCCCATTGCCATTGATTGGGTAAGAAGTCAGTCTTTCCACCATTCGAAAAGAACTCGGCGTGTGATTTGAGATACAAGTCAATTGTTAGGCCGATTAAATTATATGTTATCATTACATACAGTAAATTGAAAATAGATTTTATCGTACCTATTATATATAATTGTTTTTGGATAAACACTCACTTTGATGTTTGAACAAAATATAATATATAAGGCTAAATAAATCTAAATTAATACAGATAATATGAAAATTTAAAGATATGCCAAGTAAATATATATTATTATGTAAAAGAGATGATAATATCATTTTTTTCATCTATATAACTATCAAATTATTAATAAAAATGAGACCAAGTGGTATTCGAATTAAAAACTTAAAGAAAGTCAATGTAATTATGTTAAAATTGTGAAATTTTTTGTATATTTTTTTTTCAAACCTTAAAAATGTTTAGTGTAATTTATTTTAATTTTTTATATAAAAGTTTAGTGAGTCACAATTTTTAGGTTTTTATTTTTTGATATTTCAGTGACACTTTAGGGAGTGTTTGGCATGAATTTAATATTTCAGTGGCACTCGCTAAAATAAACTTTGTTGCTAAACTTACTTGCAAAATTTTGGGTTCATTTGAGATGTGGATTGACTTTTTTGGCTATTTTAGTCTGGAGCTAAAAAGCCTTGTTTGGAATAGGCTTTTTTGACTTCTTTGAGAGAAAAAATAACATGATTATGATTTAGATGTAACATTTTGTCCTATTAGGCTAAAAAACTTATTTTGTCTTTCTGTGACTATTTTAACCCAAAAAGTTTCATTTTAGCTTATGTCAAACGAATGCTCTGTAACTTGCTGGCACCAATTGTTTATAGAAGGGTAGAAAATACAGATGGAATCGATAAATCGGTTTGGATTTATTCGAATTGTACGATTTTGTTGTTTTTCTTTTTCTTTTTTTTTTTCAGAAGGTGATTTGGTTATGATTTTAAATAATCAAGAACCATTGATTAAAGAATATATTCAACCGGACCAATTTGTTACCTATTTTTTTAGGTCTTGGAAGAAGAGATCAAATCTCAGAGTTTTCAATTAGCCTCACATGCATTAGTTAATCGATTTGTTCCAAATTTATTGAGATTGTCACACTAATAAATTTATATAATCAATATTTCTATACAAACACATACACATATGTAAATAAGTAATGTTATCCTACATATATATAACCAATATTTGTGTAGCAATAATAATATTTAAGTTGTTGCTATGATCTATTGTAATTAATTGATCCTTTGTTGATTAATAATTATAATTTTTTAAATAAATAAAATAGCCTAAAATCATAGAAACAAATTGATTATTATTATTTGGTTTTGGTTTGGTTATGTAGCTTCAACAATTTGGTTCTGGTTCTGATTATTTTTATACCATTTGGTAATCTACCGTGAAATAACACCAATTTGGTCCCGAAACCCCTAATTATCTACTAGTTTTGTACCCACTCAAGACCTCTACATTTTAAAAAGGGTTATTTCACTTAAAATTCACATATTTTTACTAAAATTTTATTTTGACCCCACTTTCAGTTGTAATGGTCATGGTAAGGAAAGTAATACCATTTTGTAGTAAAAAAAAAAATATAATTTTTTATAGTGTTTTTATGATGTACACCTTTTAATGTATACATCCTTTTAGTAGAGCAGCCTTTCTTTGAACTTATGTGTGCCTAACTTGTACCATCATTCTTCAATTTGCAACTACATCATTTAAAAAAAGAAATCTAATAATTATAATTACACAATTTAATTATATTTGTGTTAAGAAATATAAAAAGCTTATACTTGTCATCTTTTTCTTTTTCTTTTTTCAAGACAAATTCAATGAAATCATGTTTTTACGATTATTGAATCAATATGAGTTTTTATGAATAATCTGCAATAAAGGCCTAAAGATGAATGGATTGGATCATCAGAATGAGACCCGTGATGAGCCCACAAACTAGAATTGCACGATCCACTTTAGTTTAGGGGACTGGAGAGAAACTTAATTTTATTATTATTATTATTATATTGATTTAGATGACAAGAAATTAAATTGATTTGACTAGAAGTCTAAATTTTAAATATTAAATTATTACAATAATATGAAAAAGATATTTTAAAGAGAATAGAAGTTTATTATATGTATAAAACCAATGAGCATCTGGATCACACCATTGTATCCATCTACTAATCTACAAACACAGCTTTTTCTTAGTGGTGGAGTCCATTCTAATAATGCCAAACCTTCCTCAAATATATCCCACAATTTGTCACTTTTGCTTGGAAAATTATTGGGTTGTCTAGCCAACAAATCTCATCATATGAAGGTCAGGTTGGAAGGAACATCAAATGTGAGAGTTCCATGAGAGTGCAAGGAACAGATCAATCTCTGAAAATCTGAAGGCAAAACCATAACCAAACCAGAGAAATTTCTCACAAGGAGAACAATATGTCGGACAATCTACCACAAGAAGTGGTGTTTGATATCTTGGCAAGACTACCTGTCAAGTCCCTATTACAAATGAGGTGTGTATGCAAATCATGGAACTCTCTAATCAATAGTCCCAATTTCATCACATCACACACAAACCAAACTCTTGCAAACAACAACAATGAATTAGTACTACTTAGGCACCACACTGATGGCAAAGGTTAGTTCACATTGCATTGCAATAACAACACATTCAATGAGTGTACAACATTTGATTGCCCATTTACAAACTGGACAGAGTATTATTTGAGGGTAGTGGGTTCGTGTGACGGGTTAGTGTGCTTGTCGTCTCATGATCAAACTACGATTTTATGGAACCCATCAATCAAGAGATGTTTGAATCTTCCAACGCCTCGCATTACATATAAGTCTCACGGTTCTTATACGTTTATCCTTGGATTCGAATTTGATCCCTTGACTAATGATTTCAAGGTGGTGAGACTTGTATATTTTCACAAGAACTTTGGTTACAGGCTTCCAGCAGAGGTCGATGTTTATATGCTTAGCATAGGGACTTGGAGAACTGTTAATACTATTGCCCCATCATATAATTTGATGGAATGCGTTTCCCATGCTTTTGTGAACCGGGCATGCCACTGGATTGGGTTTGAGGCAATGACGAAGGAAATAAGGCGCTATTTGATACTGTCATTCAACATCAGTACTGAAGTGTTTTGTGAGATAAAGCTCCCTGATTGTGTTGCTAATGTGTTCAGACTAATTGCATCGGTTGTAGTGTATGAGGAATCGATTTGTTTGTTCCATTATGATAGGGATTGGGGGTATCCAAGTAAGAATTGTGATATATGGGTGATGAAAGAGTATGGTGTGGTTGAGTCTTGGACTAAATTGTTCACAATTGATTTTGGTATAAGCAAAGCTGTAGGTTTTAGGAAGAATGGTGAATTTTTGGCAGAAGATAGAGAGGGGAAGTTGGTTACATATGATTTCAAGACCGGGCAAATAGTGTATCTTGGAATCCATGGGTTGAAACAATCGTTTCATTTGGAGAATTACATGGAAAGCCTAGTTTTACTTATAGAAGGAAATGAAGTTTTAGAGGAGAAGGCAAAATCTTGTAATGCCCTTGACAAAGGTATTGAAGAAACGTCGGAATTGGGGAGCAGCATTAATCAACAAGGAAGTGGGTCACGCGGTAGGTTCTTTTGTTGTGCAATGCCTAGCTCTCTCACAAAAACTGGACTTCCTCGACCCTCTTACAGAAACTTGATTGATCGTCCACTTCAATTGGAAAGAAGCCTATCCCAATCAACAATGCTAGAGGAAGCCGAGAATAATAGGAAGTTGTAAAGGTAATTTACTTCCATTTTCAGTTGGTGGTGGTCTCTCTTCCATTCTCAATGTAGAGATATAATTGTCTTTCGACTTGTGATATGCAGATATGTTTCGCTTTTAATATTCATGATCAATGTAAAACTTCAGATATGAGAAGATTTGTTTGTTAGATTGTGGTTATCGGATCTTTATTTAATGTGCTAAGGCTCGATTTCAAAGTTTCTAATCTGAAATAAGGTGTGGTTCCAATTTTAAACATTGTAATTTTCAATTTAGTTTCATACTTGCCACTGGAAAAAGGCCACCTTAGACTACTAATTTGGTGTCACTTTAACCTCGTTGTTGTATTTAAACACAGGTACGTGAATGATTTATTGATCTGCCCTGTTTTTCATTTAGGCTGGCTATCTTCAATTGCTAGTGTTAGACACTGAGTTGTTACAAAGAGTAAAAGGAATAATAATTAATAAGGGGTAAAAACCACAAATACCTCCTGAAAATACACTAAACATTTTCATAATATGACACCTCTTGCTTTTGGAAGTTGTATTATACACATCTTATTTTATTAAATCACAGACAACCTTTTGATATTCAACAAAAATATACTGACACTTCTTAACATTTGGCGAAAAGATCACAGACACCCCCATTAATTTAAATAAATACATCCGATAATATTAATTCACTTATTTTTAAATATTTTTATATGTACATATATCTATATAATAAGGCAAGAGGCTTTTTAAAAATGTCTAATTTATGTTAGAGATACATTTTGATCTAATCTATATAATAAGGCAAGAGGCTTTTTAAAAATGTCTAATTTATATTAGAGATACATTTTGATCTAATGGCTTAAATTGTCTCATCTCAACTTCAATGGTTGAGATGTCTTTATTTCCCACCCAAATGATCTTTGAGCATCAACGGTACTCATCCCCTCTCTCTCTCATTTCAATTTGAACACACACACACACACTCTCTCTCTCTCTCTCTCTCTCATTACACACATTCCTTAGCTTCAATTCTCACTCTCTCTTTCTCTCTCTCTCTGTAAATTGTGTTTGAAGATGGTGGATTTCGCTCACGTATAGAAGGAGCTTCAGGAATGCAACAAAGACAACGATGTCTCGAGCACAAGCATCAAGCCTGAAGGTGGCACTTTCAACATCGACATTATCTTGCTCGGTAATCTTTTCTTCTTCTTCTTCGTTTTATTTCAATTTTTTTAGGGTTTTAGATCAATTTATATGTTTGCAAAATTTGAGTTTGGAATTTAGGCCTAGGGTTTTTAGTTCTGTTGTGTTCAACTAAAAATTGTTATTTTTTGCCCCCTGATTTCTGAATTGTTTCAATTTTAACCTTCTGTTAACATTTTGCTACTATAAAAGAATGGAAAAGTGACAAAATTGATCATTTAAGATGTGGGTTCCATACATATGTGTGAGAGGTATGCACAAATTTTTCCGTCTGGTCATAAAATTGGGTTGCGCGTAGAAGAAAGGGAAGATATATACAGATCTTTTGCATATTTGTAAATAAACCAGTTTTTGAGTGATAATTTTGGTCATATCATTTTTACATATAATTTTTTTATTCTCTTTCATAACAGAATATTAATAGAAGGTTGCGATTGAAACAAATAAAGTGATAACGGTCCATAGTGGAGGGTGGTCATCCAATGCATTTAATGCACTACTTGAAAATCTCTTTTTGATTACTAGATACGGCTGGAAATGTGTTGGAAAAATAGGTTTTAGAAATAGGAATAAGGGGTTTAATTTGAGGTAATGATTTAAAGTCTGCATTTTGGTAGAAGGTTGCAATTTTGAGGACAGGCTGGGGTTATAGTACTTTAGGAACTAGAAGTAGGATGGAAAACTGTGGAATTCCTTTCAGTAGAAGGTGGTGCTTTCTACAATATTTAGGGCACTTTTGGAAATGCCTTCGTTTTTTTTTTTGTTTTCTGTTATTAAAAACAGAAAAATCGGATTTTGAAAAACTGTTTTTGGGAAAATCTTCTGGATTTTGAAAATGTTTTTGCATAATCATAAAGCCGTGTTCAAACTTTTTGTTTCTAATGACACAAAAAATGAAGACATCTAAAATAAAAATGGTACTAAACTTAGCTTGTTTTTGAAGAAAAGAAACTGATATTTTTAAGAGTGATTTTTGTTGATTTTTCTTACACTTTTATAAGAAATTGATCAGTTGATTTTTCTTAAACTTATACAGATAATATACAAGAATTTGATTTTTCTTGAACTTTTATGAAGAGTTGGTTGGATTTCACGAATTTGATTTCGATTTTGGGTTTGGGTTTGGGTTTCGCAAAATCAACCCATTTACTATCATTTGGTTCTATATTCCTTGCTTATTAAGTGTTTGATAAAATGTTTCAATGGAATTAGTAGCACACAACTGGAATTATTCTCTAAATCCAGTTGATGGTATCCTCTAAATTAATATTCCTCTAAAATGTTTCTTGGATGATTCCCATTATCCTCTAAATTCCATCAACTGGAATTATTGGGATAAAATTCCATTAACCATTCAATTTACACACAAGAAATCTCAAAAGATGTCAGTATTGTTGGGTGGGTCTGGAGATGTGAAGTTGATAACCATTCAATGGGTGGGTCTGGAGATGTAACCATTCAATGTTTGATAATTTACTTAAATTTTATTTGGAGATGTGAAGTTTTGTTGGGTGGGTCTGGAGATGTGAAGTTGATAATCGAGGGTTGGGTATTGTTGCGTCACCCTTTTTATTCCATTAAATTAATTTAATATAATATGCACGGCCCCATTATAGTCACGGTGGAGCAATAACCCACCAGCCATAATAAAATAATATTAAATTTTTAAAAATGGAATTATTCAACAAATTCGATGCTTTAAATACTAAAAGGATAATGGGAATCATCCTCTAAATCCAGTTGATGGTATCCTCTAAATTAATATTCCTCTAAAATGTTTCTTGGATGATTCATGCTTTAAATACTAAAAGGATAATGGGAATCATCCTCTAAATCCAGTTGATGGTATCCTCTAAATCCAGTTGATGGAATTTACAGACAACAAATCCAGTTGATGGAATTTAGAAGGCACTTTTTGTTTTCGGTTTGATTTTGTGGAGAATTGGGAATCATCCAACTACCAATATTATTCTTCTCTTGATTTTTTTATGTGGTTATTTTTCTATGTGGGTTTTATGAGTTTAGGCTTAAGTTGCAATGAGGTTGTGTATATTTTTTCTTTGTTAGGAATAGACATAATTTCTTTACTTGCATTTAGCTGAACCTTTCAGATTCACTTTTCTAAATTCTATACCTTTCAGATTCACTTTTCTAACACCTATAAAATTTTCATGACACATAAGCATTCAATTTTGCTACAGAATTGTTGGTTATCTTCTTCAACATTACCTTTGGTCAGGTAACTAATTGCAAATTTTGCTAGAAAGTTGTGGCGGTTGTTTTTGATGGTCAAATTTTGGATGCTCTGTAAAATGCCTCAATTAAAATAGTTTACTTTCTTATATAATTATACTTTTTTGTTGTTCAAATAGTGAGTAAATCTATCAAGCCAAGTAAATGGCTAAACAACCTTTCCTACATAGAGTTTGATTAACCATGCTTGAATGCACTTAATGCTGGTAATGTGAATGTCCTAATTGATCAAAGTTATCTTATAGTTTATTCTACATTCCCCCCCTCCCCCACACACACAAAAAAAAAAAAGAAAAAAAAAGTGAGCGAATCCATCATAGTTTATTCTACATTCCTCCCAAACAGTGAATGATACATGCCTTGGATATTTGGTAAGATTAACAAAAATATAGGTATATTAAAATTGGTGAATCAATCAATGGGAGTTGGATCTTATTTTTAATAATAAACAGTGGGCAATTTTTAGGGAGTTGATTTTAGATAATGGATAATGGAGCTTGCTTGCTTATATTTTTTATTCTTCCTTTTGGTTCAGGTACATATGCCTTGGCTTGAAGGTGTGTTTGATTAGCTCATAAAAAGTTGTTATGGCTTTGTTTGCTACAATGGTTGATTAGGTAATTGGTCTGCCTTCCATTGATGGATTTGTCAATAATTTGTTGCTATTCTATTGTTTAACTTGGCTGCATTTTACATGTTGTGAAAATTAAGAATCTTAAATTTTTACTAGCTAGGCTTCATTTTATATGTTGGCTATCTTCTGGATTATTAGCTAGATGCAGTTTATGCTTTTTGTTCAGAGAAGGTAGAGAAATAAGAACCAAGAAAAGCGAATACTTGATTTTTTATGCTAATAATTTGGGTCTTCTATTTTAATTTTTGAATATCATACTATTTTGATGATAATCATTGTGATAATTTTTATTGTAATTTTAAAAATTAGCATTGTTTAGAATGCCTTTATGTTTGATTTTATTGTTTTTCAAAAACAAGATGTTTTGTTTGTTTTGATTAGAGTTGAAAATTTCAAGTTAGATAATGAATGGAAGTGTTGTGTGGGTCTATTAGTGAATGTTTCAAGAAATGGAGAGCAATGGCACAACGGCCCATTTAACAAGTGAGCCTTTTTTTTTTCCTTCACAATTTTAGAAGTTTATTTATTGAGTTTCTTTTTATTGGAATTTTTCTTCTTGATAGGTGATTTTGGGGGTGGAAGAGAAATTTAGATTATATTGATTCAATAGAATAACTTTGCCTATTACTTTTTTCACATTCTATAACTCTACCAGTGTTTATAATCAATTAAAATTAAAATTTTAAAACTTAGACACTGTAGGCACAATTGTATATTCATTTTAAAATAGATGTCACAAAAAAATGTGGTTATAATAAATTGAATTTTCGATTGGATGGGTTAGAGTCTATAGCGATCCCGGTTTCCCTTCCTTTAATCGTTGTATTTGGACTTAGGTTCCATGGAGCTGGTTGTTGTATATATCTTGTTTACATCCTTTACTCCTTGTATTCGAGTCTTGGGTTGTGTTGGGCAAGTTTGAAAAAGGTTGGTTGGACTTAGAAACCAAGAGTAGTTGCCCAGATTTCGGCCTTCACGCTCGAGCAGAGTTTTTGACGCTCGAGTGGGTCCTTCGTTGTTGTTTGTCCACTCGAGCGGGAGTTTCGACGCTCGAGCGTATTTGTCCATCTTCCATTATCTCCTCTGCAGTGTTGTACGCTCGAGCGGGGGTTTTG